ACGCATCTTGTGACGATCCCGGTGTGTGTGTATGTGTGTGTGTGCGTCTATCCGGGTATTTCAATTGGGCGACCGAGAAAGCTCTGGCGTCAAAATTCTGCTAGTGGGTTTCCCGGCTAAGTGCCACCACAGGACCGCGGTACCAACTCACACGTAAGTCTGGGCCCCGCGTACGAGGGGATGAAAATTTGACGGGAAAATCGCTAACTCGGAAACTAGAAAACTGAAATTTTGGGATTATGTCCCCCGTCCACACAGGACTCAAAGATTTCAAACTCAGTCCCTAGGTGCACATGGTTCCCGCGCATGATCCGTGAGGGCTCCTGACGCGAAAATTGCTAACTCGAGGACCAGGAAAGCTGGAAGGTTGAAATTTTAAGGGGATATTCCCAGTTCACGTACAACTTAAAATTATCAAATTCAGCCCCAGGCATGCGTGATTCTCACGTACGCTCCCATGAAAGTTTTTGGCGGGAAAAATTGCTAACGAGAATAAGGAAAGCTGGGAGGCTGAAATTTTAAAGAGATGTTTCCAGCATAAATACAACTTAAAGATTTCAAACCCAGCCCCCAGGTTGCGTTTGGCCTCGCGAAAGTTTTGGCGAGGAAGTTGCTAACAAGAGAACCAGGAGTTCTGGAAAGTTGAAATTTTTCACGGAGTGTTCCCTTCTAAGTACCACGTAGTTGTACAATTAACTTCCCGAACTTCGAGGACCAGTATGTCACAAATTCTAGCTACTGGCGAGCGATCTCACTACAGTACGAAATACTACAAAAACACATGATCGCACGAGCCAGCCTGGTGCGCGTCACCAATGATTGGCTTAATTGTCTTTCATATGTAAGCTCTGTGTGAATGGCTTTGCGTCCCCCACTAGCCCTGGTGAAGGAAGGTCCGAACGCAGCTAGCAGTAGCGAAATAGCCGGACTGCTAAATTATGCTCGTGATTTCCAGAGTGTCCACACTGCCTGCCCGCAAAAAATCGTTAGCTAGGGTGGAACTACGTCACAGCTACGACGCCCGACTTATTGCTATCGCAGTTGCTCTTTACCATCAAACAAAATCAGTTACGGTTGCCGAAGTATGGCAATCATTGGTATGCACAGATCAAGCTTAGTAATTCCTACCTAGCACCTACGAGCTAAGCACAGGAGAGACAGTTACTGCTTTGCCCCATTTGATTCGGCGGCGATGTATCGAGGTATTTTGGGTCGAGGCCAACGATGATCCTCCTCATGTGCTGAAAGTGACGAATAAGTAGTTCCATAAACAAACATCGATAATCGACGGCGGCCGTTGCCCGAACTGACGCAGCGACCCAGGCAAAGAGCATCAGGGTAACCGAGCGTGACGCAGCTACGTGAGCAGGAGAAGGCACAGCACCCGACGACGACGCAACAGTGGTTGGCAAGCGGCACTTCTTCATTCGCCACAACAATTTTTCGCCGCCCCCTGCAAGAACATAATTTATTGCTCGGGTAATAAATCTCGAGAGCGTGTGCCCACACAACTCACGCCTCCGCCCACATTCGAACCCCAATTAGGGCCCTCTTCTGGGGACCACCCATAAATGGCATTCAACTCTCACACCCTGAGCTCTCCCCTCCCATCCCTCCTCCTGCTCCTCTCGCACCCCCGCCTCCCGTCCCCAATACATGAACAACGGCGCTTTCACTAGTAATAAGGTAACAGAGGATGAGCATCATCACCCGCGTCCCCTGTTCTTTTCAGGTTAAGCTTCCTGACGTTTAGCACCTGACGCGTGCGCTGTGTAAAGTGCAAAAGGAGCTTGAGAAGCAGGATGATACAAAAATATTTCGATTGCGACCCAATTCCGCTTCCAACAGCTATCTTTTATATGTATTCCTTGTTCGCTCGTTTTCAAGAAACATTTCAGGATGATGCGAGGTTAAGTCTACCGAGCTTGTGGACTGCAGCATCTAGCTGTCGCAAGCAAAACAGATAAGTGGCTGTTGAGCATGAAGCTAAGCACAAGAAAAAGAGCAGAATGGATATCAATCACGGAAAAATAAACACACCGTCGATGTAAAGGGCACTTTCAAATCCACCTTTCTACCCTCTGCATTATCTGGAAACAAAGACGGAAAGCCATTTTTGCTGAATCGAGGCAATGCGCAGTGAGGTAATGAACCAAGAAGCCACGTTTCGTATTTGTCAACAGTCTGAAACACCCAAACAGTCTTAACTTCACGTAAATAACGCTAAGAAAACATTGCAAGCAAGAAGAAACGGTCATATGACAAAGATGTAGGAGAGCACTTGGGCAAAATGGATTGTTGAATGGTACACAGACGGCGTAATGCGATGGAAATCGACACTGATTTACTGGAATGCAACTTGATAACTTATGAACGACGAAAGTTAGCTATGACGATAACGGCAGCGCAAAGATGCGAAACAACAAAATCATAGCAGATGCAACAAACTTCCTCCTTTTTTTGGCAAATACCAGTGTGAAAATTCTTGTCTTAGTGCAAGTATCACAAAACGCGTGTATTTTCATGATCAGCGGTGAACTATTTAAGGTACTATACGTTTTGTAACTTTCCATCAATGAAACTAGCCCCCTTGAAGGGAAAAGACCGAATGGAACCCAATCCAGGAAATGGACTTTTTAGTTCTAGAACTCGCATCTGCTAGTTGCATCTTGTCATTTCTTGAGAAGCCAACCAATTTCAAGCTGAACAAAGCGGAGAAAAAACCATTTGCAAAACAGTTTTAACCCCCCTATAAATAGCTTAACAAAATTTCAGATGCTACCCGCCACTTACAACACACTTTTATATTTGGAAATTTTGATTTCAAGCTTAGCAGCGCCTTCTCAACACTCACGCAGCGTCGAAAAAATTTAATTAGTTTCAGTCACATTGTGCACACACGGGCTGCAAATCTCCCCCTGAATTGAGGCGCCAATAAATTCTGGCTTCGTCAATTCGCCTTTGGCGTAGCTGTCCCAGAATGTACGATCACTGCACTCAATCACGGCTGGTGCTGCAAAACAGTGATGTACTCATGCGCCAGGCGACTGATAGGCCAAGTGCTCCACTGTTCCACTGTGCTGTGCAAAATAGTGATTAGTCTTGCTGCTGCATTAAAAATTTGCTAAAAAACGACAGTTTTAGCCTTTTAGTGCTGATTTAATGCAAAATTTTCAGATCCCTTTATTCCTATATTAATATTATAAACCACTTTTGAGCGGATCTAATACCATCCTTTTGATTAGATTTGCACTTCTTGGACAGAGCTTCGCTTTTCAGTGGTGAATTTTTCGGGCTCATTTCTTTTTCTTTCTACTTCGTCTCAAGAAAAAAAGAAAAGGCCTGTACCCCACGCCTTTCCTTGTCAGCAAATGCGTCTTGGGATAAATAGTGTCACTTATTAAAATCTCGGAGTTTTTCAAAAGTGATGAGACACGAGATAGAAAGGGAAGCAATAAGTACGAAAAACAAGTGACTGGATTAAGCAAGAAATAGAGCGCTGATGTTTGTTATCGATGAGAGACTGAAATAGAAGCACAAGTCAATGATTTTCCAGCTTTTGAATTAGTGCAGTAATGCTGTTGGGATGCCACCATAATTTAATCAGTAAGAGCTGTTCACGGATAGCTGAAACTGCACCATGGAAATGAAGCTTGCAAGCAGCTTCGTTCTTGGAATGCACAAATTTGGAGCTTTACTTCCCAGAAATTCATAATTTTTCTCGTCCCAGGTCGCAAATTTTAATGGTGAGGATGTCAGCGCGCAAACAAAAGGGTTTTTTGCCAGTAATCCATAAGTGTGGACAACAACAAAAGTCTCACAACTGGTTAACACAGGAAGATCACAGCACTTTGTCGTTAACCTTTCAAGCACGGTAAAGCTGCAGTCGCATCATTTCTTACCAGACTTAAAGTTATTTACTCGTTTTATTCTCATATCTTATCTGGCTCTAAGTTCAGACACACAGATAAACTCAGACATAGTTGGCCGCGGAATCAAATTCTTCGCAGATCCGTGTTCTGTCATCGGCAAATTTATGGAAAAAACTATTGTTATTTCTGCCTTAGCAGCATCACCTCGGATATACCACACACGCTGAGGAAATCAGCTCCATCGATGGAACTCCCGTCAAATATTTCGAGTGAGATATTGACTCGGAAATGGAGCGCACATCCAATTAATCTTTGGAAAAGGACAGCGTTGCTCCACAAAATTCACAATTTCGAAGTTAAACAGAACAAAAGGTTTTGCAGTGTGGTTATGCTGCGAACAAAAGCGGCGGTGTAGGGATGTGTGTTCATCTAAGAGAAGAGCCTTCAGGGCAGCTGCCCATCAATCCTTGGGTTCATCCTGAATTGTTAGCTTACCAAGGAAACATCCCATTCTAAGCTCTGTGTATGCACTGTCTGAAATAACAATTTTGGAAAGTATCCTGTAATTCCTATGCTGTAAAGTGGAGAAATGTGTAGGAGAAGCAGGGCAGGGCTCCCCACCGCTCTTTCCACACTCGTCAGTATATATCTTCTTCCCACTAAACAATCGCATTCAACATTCATTTATCAATTTACTAGTCAGGATTGTTATTTATCACCGTTTGAGGTGTTCGGCTCCTGTCCCTACCTCCTTTCGCCTCTTTACACATCGCTCGGTGCAAATTAATGAAAATTGTTCATCGGCATACATGCAGAGACGGCTTCAGTTCAGTTACTTTGCTTTCAAAGACAAAAAAGCAATAATTCCTACTAGTTTCCGTTTATTTCTGAAGTGAGAAGGGAAGCATCTCTATTCACAGCGACAATCGTCGGTTCAATAAAAAGTGTTTTTCATTATTTATACATATATATATATATATATATCAAACGCATGGGATATATATATATATATATATATATCCCATGCGTGAAATATACGCACGCCAAAGCCCATACTACGCCCGCCAGCTTGCGTATGGACAACACATATCTTCTTAAAGTCAAGGCATCCTACTCAGTTTGATTCTCTGGTTGGCATTTTACCAATGATGTCATGACTTGACTTATCGGTAAGCGTGAACTAGGTGTGTGTACCAGCTGAATTTGAAGTCTTTAGCTCAACAAGGATATAGAACATCTCTGTAAAATTTCAGTCCCCTGTCTTGTCTGGTTCCTGAAATGACTTTACGCGTATGTGAACAACGATTTAAAAACGGGAAGGTCGCTCATGAAATGGGAACCTGTTCCAAAAGTCAGTTTCCTAGCTGTTCTGTTTGCTGTGTTGAAAGCAGGTGACAAAATGCGAACATATGAGTAAACACACACACAACCCCCTGCCAACATGCGTTCTTGCATAAATATGCAAACCAGGCTCACACGCAACAGCTTACTGGTGCGATCACGCGCTTTTGCTCTAAACTTGAAGCAGTCAGACCGTTAGCAGCATGCATAATACTTACGTTACAGTTTAACACGTGGACTCATGTTGGTAGGGTAAAAGCGCGTTGGCTAGAACATGGGGCCGCGACGACCCCCAGCTTGCTTGATTTTTATTTTTGCATGAAAAGGAATGAATAGTTTCCGGCGACCGATCATTCATTGGAAAATGTAAATTTGATAATGAACAGGATTTAGCGACAGAAGGATTAAGAGGAATTTGCAAAATGCACCCGCTTTTGAAGTTGCAATGAAACTGAGCATTTGCCATGCCCGTCTGTATGAAATTTATCCTCCAAATTGAATTTAGACCACACGTGAATATAGAATATCGCTGTAAAGTTTCAGCTTCGCAGCTTGTTTGGGGAGCGACATCGCCACTTCGTTACAAATAGTTTTGAAGTGTCCTAAAGCGTGGCGCAAGTGCTCAACGTAGGTGTACAATTCTTAGGACAATAAATATTTTGGCACTATTGTTTCCCGACTAATTTTCGAGTTAACGCGACACCAATTTGAAAAAGCTATGATAGCGGTACACTTGACAAAACGTACTCGATAGCTGAATTTGAAATCTTTATTTCATACATGACAGTGAATATCTCTGCAAAATTCCAACTTCCTACACCTGACAGTTCCCGAAATCGTTTCCTCGTCAAAAAATTTAGATATTTGTTTAGGGGGTTTATACGGGAGACCTAAGCGCGCATGGGCGGTAATTTCAAAATGGGAAGGTGACACGTAGGGTGGGAACATGCTCAGCAATGGGGAAAGCTAAAAGGCTGAAATTT